TGGAACAGAGCAGTAACAAGATTCAGCTGGGAAGATGTTTTGGGGTAAACTTTTAACTGAGCATTAGATCAATTTCTGCTTCCTGGCTGAAGTCCCCACACCAGATCCTTAAATGTCCCTTATCTTGCTTGGCCTCATTTGTAGGGACCCTAGAGACTGCAGTAAAGAAAAACACAAAGGAAAACACACACAAATACAAACCAATTAACCTGATTCCATTTATTTCCAGGTGGAATTAGTCCATCCCCCAATTCATTATGCCTAATTTTTCTGTCTCTCAGCTAAAATATCTTGAGCTTATCAGTTGTCTGTGACAAAAGCATGCTTCATTTTTTTCTGTGGCAATTTACAAGAATACTTGAGGAATGATTTGTTGGTAGAATTTTTAATGTGATCATTGCCATAAACCAAATTTTAAATCACGACCCAGGTTTGATTTTTGCGTTTCTTAACTATGCATAAAATTTTTGTTACAAAGTGTATCTCCAAGTTCTTATTTATTCATTGAAATGAGTAGAAATCTACCTGTACACCTTACCTTGAAGTTCACGCATCTTTTCTCCTACCTTCTTCCCGCTGAACAAGACACTTTTTTTTCACCAGTAATAGAATGTACCTTTATTAACACATTTCTTTCTGAGCTCATTTCTTTCTAGATGTTCCCATATGGCCAAAAGCATATGAAACATGACAGAGATATTTTGTTACCCATAATTCAAAGCACAAGAGGGTTTCGCCCATTTTTTGCTAAGCTTTCACAGCTAACGTAAATTTTTTCTTTTTATAAAGATTTTTATATTTTTTCAATGTTTATTTTTGAGAGAGAGAGAGCACAAGCAGAGGAGGAGCAGAGAGAGAGGGAGACACAGAATCTGTAGCAGGCTCCAGGCTCCAAGCTGTCAGCACAGAGCTCCATGGGGGGTTCGAACTCACAAGCCGTGAGATCATGACCTGAGCTGAAGTCAGACGCTTAACCACTGAGCCACCCAAGTGCCCCAACAGCTAATATAGTTTTACCAAAAACTTTACAGAGGCATAACATGAGTAGCCATCTTTCTAGGATTCAATCAAGTTTTCCATCACCTGTGGCTTGTCTCCATGACAAATCCACATATACACTTTTTTTTCCTGTTAAATGTCATCATTTAAAAAAGAAACAATTTGTGGGGTGCCTCTTAGCCGGTTAAGCATCCTACTCTTGATTTTGGCTCATGAACTGTGAGATCAAGGCCCACGTCAGGCTCCATGATGAGTATGAAGCCTGCTTGGGATTCTCTCCCTCTCTCTTTGCCCCCCGCCCCACTCGAGCTCTGTCTCTCTTAAACATTTAAAAAAATAAACAATTTGGTGATTGCATTAGGCAGAGTTCAACTATTCAACCAGAGATACAGAATCAGTACATATAGTGATTAATTGCAAGGAATTGGTTTATGTGACTGTAGAGACTCACTAAGCAATTCCAAAACTCATAGTATCGGCTGAACTCTTGAGCATGGGCCAAGCATCTATCAACAGGAAGAATGTTTTTGTTTTTGTTTTCTTTTAAAGTTTCTTTATTTCTGAGAGAGAGAGGGAGAGAGAGCATGAGCAGGGGAGGAGCAGAGAGAGGGAGACACAGAATCCAAAGCAGGCTCCAGGATCTGAGCTGTCAGCACAGAGCCTGATGCGGGGCTCAAACTCACAAACTGCGACATGATGACCCGAGCCAAAGTAGGATGCTTAACTGAGCCACCCAGGTGCCCAGGAAGAATGTCTTTGAAGGGAAGCCTCCACTCTGACCTTTTGGCCCTTCAGTTGAATGACTTAGGTTCAGCCAGATTGTATGGGAAAATCTCCCTTAAAGTCAAGTGATTGTGGACTCCAACACATCTACAAAATATGAATACAGAAACACCTAGATGAGTGAAAAACTAAGTTCTGTAGCTTAGCTGACACTTAAAAGTCACCATCTCAGGCTACACCTTGCCTACCTATAAACCATACACCTCTCCTAGAACCATAAATGATTTCCAAATTTAAAAAATTACAACAAAGTGCGATTTCTGCCTAATACGGCACAACTATCCTGATTACAATAGAAACATGCTAATCCTTTCTCCAAAAAAAGATGCAACACCCTTGGGTGATGTGCATCCTTCTTTTTTGATGCTCCTTAAATATGATGATGTAAAGTTAACTATTATTGGGATGCCTGACTAGCTCAGCCGGTAGAGCTCACCACTCTTGATCTCAGGGTCCTGAGTTCAGGCCCCATGTTGGGCGTGGAGCCTACTTAAAATAATTATAAAGTTAACTATTATTAAAGCACCTTATACTGGATCATTAGGGAATAACTGTGAGAAGAATACAAAAAAAATACTTTAATATATGTACAAATTCATAGCAAAATTCTCATAACTAGTATGTCCTCACTTCTGCAAATGGTCCAAGATAGTAGCTATTTTCTTCCATTGCCAATTCAAATTTCCTTTGACCTCAGCAACACACCTCACATGGTGTCGATTCTTTGCCTGGTCAGGTGACCTGAAGTACTAACTTCTGTATCATTTGGTCTCAACCAGAGAAAGAGGATCAGTAGCATTCTGAACTCACAGGAAACTAGTGAAATTATACATACATGTGTGTGCACATGTATATATACATATGTACAAATAAAGACATTTGTTATAAAGAATTGGCTTATACAACTGTGGCCTTTGGATAGGCAAGAATGAGATTTCTGGGGGGTGGCTGGGTGGCTCAGTCATTTAAGCATCTGACTCTTGGTTTCAGCTCAGGCCATGATCTCATGGTTCATGGTGACAGCGCAGGGCCTGCTTGGGATTCTTTCCCTCCCTATCTCAAGAAAAATAAACTTAAAAAATGTATAGGGTCAGAACTGCTGTCTAACTTCTCGCTCAGGTCACATCCGGTGGTTTGTGAGTTCGAGCCCCACATCGGGCTCTGTACGGACAGCTCAGAGCCTGGAGCCGGCTTTGGATGCTGTGTGTGTGTGTCTCTCTCTCTGCCCCTCCCTCGCTTGCACTGTCTCTCTTCCTCAAAAATAAACATTAAAAAAAAAGATGAAAAATATAGGGGTGCCTAGGTTTTCCGCCAGTTACATCTAAATTTAACCAGTTCAGGAGTTCGCTCACATCAGCTCCACCCACACTTAGAGGTGGTATCTGCTTGGGGATTCTCTCTCTTCCTCTCCCCTTTCTCTGCCTCTCCCAACTCTTCCTTTCTCTCTCACAATAACAAAATAAACTTAAAAAAAGAAAGAAAGAAAAGAAAAGAAAAAGGAAAAGAAAAAAGTGGTGCCTGTGACTCAGTCAGTTACACATCCAAATTCGGCTCAGGTCACTTCCATCTTACGGTTACTGAGTTCAGGCTCCGCGACTTCTGGCTCTGTGTTGACAGCTCAGAGCCTGGAGCCTGCAAGTGCTAAGCCTCCTGTCTCCTCCTCTCCTCTGCCCCTCCCCAGCTCATGTGCTGTTCCTCTCTCTCTAAAAAAAATAAACAATTAAAATTATTTTCAATAAATAAAAAATATATATAATGTAGGTGATTCTTCCAAAATTATAAATAATATCAAGCCAAATTAAAAAAGAAAAAGCATTGAGTACAACATGGAGAAGAACACCAATGTTTTAAATATATAAATGCATATATGTATTGCATATATATATATAAATTGCATAGTGTATGTACACTAGAGAGCACAGATTCTAAGACATATTTGGAAAGATATTAGGGTGTCTTTAAAGTTTTAAAACTGCCTGGTAGAATCTGTACAGCCTCTTAATCTGATTGCAGTTTTCTTTCTGTGTGTTGAACAGGGGCTTTGGGTGTATGAAGGTTTGCTGCCGTCCGGGACTTCAGCCAGGTCATCTCGTCCTGCAGAGAGTTCGAATGGGCCACTCTGGGCTGATGGTTCAGGAGCCTGGAGCCTGTTTCCCGGATTCTTGTGTCTCCCCCCTCCTTCTCTGCCCTCCCATTCATGCTCTGTCTCTCTGTCCCAGCACAATAAACTTAAAAAAAAAAATTTTTTTTTTAAAGTGTTGAACAATAATGAAGGGATTAGATAGAAAGGTATATAAGAAATGGGTGGGCCACCCTTGGTGTTGATAAGCCTGTCGTCTTCCAGAGCTGCTCAATTGCCCAGTGACCTCCATGGAGTCCAGGTACCTCTTCCCAAGAGGGGTTTGAACAGCATTGCGAGTGGCAAATTTTCATCTGCATTTTGCTCTCTTCTTCAGTAATGCCATGTGCTTTATTTCCCAGAGTTTATAAAAGTTAAATCACAATCATAATTAGAGGGACAGATGGTTGGAACAGGAGCTGTTTTGCATTGATAAGTTGTTAGAGGATTGATGGGTGCTTTAAAATTGGAGATTGGAATTTTCCATTTAAAGTAACAGCCAGGAGTCCCACAAGTAGGTTGTCAAAAGTTTCAAAGTTGACATTGTAAATGGAGAAAAGCATATATATGGAACACCTACCTTTAAAATGTATGGGGCACCTGGGTCTCCTTTTGATTTTTTTTTTTTTTTTAAGAGAGAGAGAGAAAGCATGAGGGAGGGGGCAGCCAGGAAGATAGAGAATCCCAAGCAAGCTCCTCAATGACAGCACAGAGTCCAGTGTGAGTCTCATTATCAAGAACTAGGACTCAATCTAACTGTGAAATCATAACCTGAGTCAAAATCAAGAGTCAGACACTTGCAGTGCTCGGGCAGCTCAGCTGATTAAGCATCTGACTCTTGATTTCGGCTCAGGTCATGATCTCATGGTTTGTGAGTTTGAGCCCTGAGTTGGGTTCTCTCCCCACCCCGCCCCCCCACGCCCACCACAACTCTCTCTCTCAAAATGAATCAACTTTTTAAAAAATTTTTAAAAATATATAGAATCATTGATGAACCTACAGGCTTTCATCCTAGAAAAGCATATGACATATGTTCACACAGAGTTTTTAATCCATAAACATATCCTTCGTACTCCTCTTCCCATTTTCTCTTGACCAGGCAGACTACAAAAAGAAACCTGGCAAGGCAGGACTGTTTACAACCAGAGTCAAAAGGATATCCTCCAAGGGGGGCCTGGGTGGCTCAGTTGGTTAAGCCTCTAACTTCTGCTCAGGTCATGATCTCACAGTTCATGAGTTTAAGCCTCACATCGGGCTCTGTGCTGACAACTCAGAGCCTGGAGCCTGTTTCAGATTCTGTGCCTCCCTCTCTCTCTGCCCCTGCCCTCCCAACCCCCACTTGCACCCTGTCTCTCTGTCAACAATAGATAATAAAACATTTTTTAAAAATTTTTAATGAAAATAAAAAAGTATATCCTCCAAGCATCGTTTGAACAAAACCCTTACGCTGATAAAGCTACCAGGAAACAATGGGGCAAGGAAATTGGCATTCCAGAGTGTAAAATTCACATAAGCATTAGGTTTCTATTTCATGATCTATCAGATTCCAGGTAAAGAGAAATGCTGGGATCAAGACTCTCAGGTAATTCTTTTATGTCAGGTATGTTAGCAGATTTTTATTGTTGTATACTAAAAGCAAGAACTGTGTGTCTTTTACCAATTGTGGAAATACCGACTGGTATATTCACTGACAGGAGGAGAATATACTGGTTCAGGATCTCCCAATGGGAGATACATCAATTTTCAAGATTTAGGCAATTTAGGAAATTAGGACACTATAATAATATGGTATCATTAAGTATTGATACATACTGGGGCACCTGGCTGGCTCAGTCACTAGAACATGTAACTCTTGATTTCAGGGTTGTGAGTTCAAGCCCTACACTGGGATAGTGATTAAAACATTCCATGCTCATGGGTTGGAAGAATAAATATTGTCAAA